GAGAGTGAGTACTGGAGAGGAAATGAGACACTGAGTAGACGGCCTGAGGTTTTGGGAAGATACATGTTTTCTTTGTTGTGGAAGGAGAGAAGATTTGTCTGTCGGGTGGAGAAGGAAGTCGGAAGAGAGATATTGTGGGGCAGGCTTGTTTAGAACAGAAATCAAAGACCGGTTTTTCTGAGAGACAGAAATGACATCTACAAATGACATGCTGTTTCGGCTACTTCCATTGCTAGCTGCTCTCCTTGGTGGTGACAGTGCAGAGGGTAAGAACACTGACCACTGCCCTGGTGGGCACAAGAGGATGTGTGTGCATGTGTGTGCGTGTGTGTGGTTTCCCTAGCATATATCCAGAGAGTAAGAGTGCTAGTCTGCTTCCATTCTAACTGTCCCTGATTCCAGGTCCCTGCATCTTATGACGGTGGTTGGTAAGTCATGGGAACCATGGCAGGCAAGTGTCTGCTCCCCTTGTCTCCAGATTCTGAGTTGCTCTACTTGGGCTTCTCTCTGTCTTCATTCTCTCTCCCTCAATGTCCTTCCCCTCCCCATTCTATCTATTCTTTTGCCACAGGGTTTGAGGAGCCTATCACTTTCCGTATCACCCAGATCTCAATCTTTTACAACAATTCTTGGGAGCAAACTCTGGCCTCAGGATGGTTGGATGAGTTGCAGACGCACAGGTGGGAGAGCAACTCCAGCACCATCATTTTCCTGAGGGCCTGGTCCAGGGGCAACTTCAGCAATAAGGAGCTGAAGGATAATGAAAGGTTTTACCATGTATACCTCGTTCGATTACATCAGGCAATCCAAACCTTTGCCAGCATCTTGCAGGTGAAATGTGAGTTCAGTTCCCTCAATGGGTCGTACAGAGGTTGGGGGAATGGGGTTGTCTTGGTGAATTTCTTATTCCTCTAGGAAATAGACTCCATTCTCGTCTCAGTCTTACTCCACTCTTCTCACCATAAAGGTGCAATCACACACTTTTGGGGACAGGGGCTATTATCCAGACCCCAGTTCTTGGAACACTTTGTCTTCTGCTACTTAATGAACATTGATTGCAGTGTTGGGCTTCATTATCTTCCCTTAGAGGTATCCCCTGGCCACTCTTTTCCCTGTCTCCAGCCAGACACCCTCAGCTTCTCCATTCTTTGATCGGCTCCTTAAAGTGGATTTTCTCTCCTGTCCATCCTCTTCAGCATTATCTGTCTAGGTAGTGACTGTAACCCATTGCGTTCCATTCACTCGAGGTTGTTGTCATCCCAGCTCTCTCACACTAAGTTGTTCCTCACCCACACCATCCATATCCCCTTCTTTGAACAATTTAAGTGTCATTCCTCGTGTCATTCATCTCTTTCTTCACCTCCACCCCCACCGCCAATTTCTCTGAATTTATGATCCAACCAAACCTTGTTCCATTCCCTCAAACCTCACCCACTTCCCCCTTCTGCTTCTATTGATTTTGGCTCCTATTAATTCCATTTTATCCTGTTTGCTCCCCTTTTCCGCCAATTCACAACCCCAGATCCTTTTGAGCTGCAGGTAACAACAGGCTGTGAGCTGCGTCCTGGAAAACCCATAGTCAATTTCCTGCGAGGAGCCTATCGAGGATTAGATTTCATGAGTTTCCAGAACAATTCCTGGGTGCCTTCTCCGGAGGGTGGAAGCAGGGCCCAGCTTGTCTGCCAAGTGCTCAATCGGTATCTCCGGTACAAGGATATAGCACAGCAGCGTCTCAGTGATGACTGCCCACGTTTCATCCTGGGTCTTATTGATGCAGGGAAGGCCTATCTCCAGCAACAAGGTCAGTCTGCACCCTCCCTCCAAGAATTTTCTATTAGAGTATTGTACCTTCCCAGCGACTCCTTCAAATTTAGGATAAAAAGAAGCCACCCAGAAGTGGGAAAGGTTGGGTGCTGGTGGCTCGCACCTGTAATCCTAACACTTTGGGAGGTCAAAGTAGGAGATCCCTTGGGATCAGGAGTGCGAGATCAGTCTGGGTAACACAGTGAGACTCCCATCTCTAAAAAGCAAAAATTCAGAAAAACAAAGTAGCAAGGCATGATGGATCATGCGTGCAATGCCAGCTGCCTGGGAGGCTGAGGAGGGAGGATTGCTTGAGTCAAGACATTTGAGGCTGGAGTGAGTTACGGACTATGACTGCACTTCAATGTGGGTGTCAGAGATAGACCCTGTCTATTAAAAAAAGAGGAAGATATGGGAAAAGTGTGTTTTCTGTAAACTGATGTGGAGATCCGAACCTTTAAGTCTGTGTAGAGTCTCTGTCTAAATATCTTTTCTGTGCTTTGCAGTGAAGCCTGAGGCCTGGCTGTCCAGTGGCCCCAGTCCCGGGCCTGGCCGTCTACTGCTGGTGTGCCACGTCTCAGGATTCTACCCAAAGCCCGTGTGGGTGATGTGGATGCGGGGTGCGCAGGAGGAGCCAGGCACTCAGCGGGGGGACGTCCTGCCCAATGCTGACGGGACATGGTATCTCCAAGCAACTCTGGATGTGGATGCTAGGGAGGCCGCAGGCCTGGCCTGTCGGGTGAAGCACAGCAGTCTAGAGGGCCAGGACATCATCCTTTACTGGGGTGAGAAAGAACTAGGCCCAGGCTGGAAATGGTACGAGACAGTTCTCAGACCCAGCAGGACAACCAGCTAAAAAAATTGGGATTTTAGGGATTCCAGATCCAGAAAGAACAAAAATGGGCAATCCAAGGGATAGAAATGTGGCAAATGAGGATTCTGTAGATGAAGGGTAATATTAAGGGCTAGGTGAAGTATGCATCTCTGAGCTGGAATGAGAGGGAAAAGAAAGAAAAACAGAAAGAAAGGAGACTGATAAGTTAGGCACTCGAATGAACAAAAGGAGCTCAGGGGAATGCAGTGAAACAGGGAATGGATGGGGTAAGGTGAGGTTGATTTGAAATAACGTCCTTGATATCTAACCAAATCCACAGGGCGTCGTAATTTCATGGGCTTGATCTTCCTGGCAGCGATAGTGCTCCTACTTCTTCTGATAGGTCTTGTGTTTTGGTCCCGAAAGCACTGGTGAGTTCTTTATGTCTGTCTTTCTTGTCTCCCTCCACCAGCGCCCCTTCCCTCCTACCCTCTGTTCTCACCTCTTGCTTATGCAGAGTGACTTCCCTCTCGGTTCTCATTCAGGTCCTGTTAGGACACACTGTGGGCCTTCTCACCACGCTTCTCCCCTTCGGTGAACACCCAGCAGCCCAACGGCTTAGGAAGTACTTGAACACATCACAGTGATGACATCCTTTCAACTCTCTTCGTAAAACCCGAGTTGTTATTTATTTCTGCTAATGATCAATGGGCAATATAAGCTTAATTCAGTTATGCAGGATTTGTTCTTCTGACCTGGGTTCTAAGACTTTAAAATTTAGATTTTGAACTCTGAATGAAGAGGGGTTATTGCAACCTTCACATGTTCGACTGTTAATGGACCATTAGATGCTGTTTCCTCCAGAGGGCCCTCTCTGATTCACAGGTGGGGGGCAGATTCTCCCTAGTCTGAACTCTCGCCACATTTCAGCTGGACTTTGTAAACTGCACTTCTCACTATCTTTCATTGCATTTATTTAGGTCCCTTTTCCTCTTCATATTTTTCAGCTCCTTTAGAGCAAAGGACATGTCTTTTAAATATATGTAGCCCTGGTGAAGCGTCTTACCTGCATGTAACATGTTCTCAGTAAAAATCTGTGTTAAATTTATGCCAGATTTGTACTCTTTCTTATTCTCTTCCTGACACTTTTGTAGTAGTTGAGACATTTGATGCTCCTCTTGTTAAACTTAGTCAAGACTACACACTTTCTTAGTTCTATAGGTTCTTTTCTGAGTCCCTGAAGAGAAACACAATTTTGCCTCCGACTACTCTTATTATTTAACTGTTGAAAGCTATTAGGGGCCAGGCATGGTGGCTCATACCTATAAGCCCAGCATTTTGGGAGACCAAGGCAGGAGGATTGCCTGAGGCCAGGAGTTTGAGACCAGCTTGGGAAATATAGTGAAAGCCTATCTCTACAAAAAATAAAACAGATTAATTTAGCTGGGCATGTTGGCATGTGCCTGTAGTTCCGCCTACTCAGGAGGCTGAGGTGGGAGAATCACTTGAGCCTAGGAGTTTGAGGCTGGAGTAAATTATTGTTCCAAGTATTCTAAATTAAAAAAAAACAAGGCAGGATGTAGGCCCTTGCTATTCAGGGATTGGGGGACAAGCAGCAGAGTTATCACATTGGAGCTTGTTAGAAATACAGAATCTAGGGTCTCACTTCAGATCTACTGAATTAGAATTAAAATTTGTATTTTAGGAAATCAGCAGGAGATTCAAAAGGGCATTGAAATTTGAGAGGCCCTGATGTAGGTGATGCCTGAGACACAGCACAGGCATGTCACTGAAGAAAAACTGGCCAAGAAAAGGGAACAAGAGTGTTGCCTCTCAAGATTCAAGAAGGATCAAGGAAACATTGGACAGTACATGGCAGTTGTGTTCCCTAAAGTCGTCACAAACACTAAATCAATAAGTTCTGATGGTGGCTCCCAGGGGACATACAGAATCAGTTTCTTGTGAGATTTTGTCACATTTTTATTAACTGATGTATACACAGACTTCTTTTACATGTGTTTTTACTTAAAGACATCTTATTATATATATTTACAAGAAATTCATTATATGCAGTATTTCTGTAAAATAAAATACTGAGAGGTGTTTAATATTTTCCTTACTTTGGTTAACATGGCCGTACATTTCTTTGGTTTTCCTCCTCACAACGATGCTGTCCACTATACTTAAAATAATTAAAAATCTGTTGCCATCTCCTGACTCCACACTTTTAGCTGTTTTTGCATACTTATTGTAACCTTACAGATGTTACTTTCCCAAGCAGCCTCACGTACAGACTGGTGAGTGTCTTCTTCCTCTGCAGGCTCTGCACTGCTGAGTCGTTAACATTGAACTTGGGGCCAACAGCCCTGGAACTAAGCATCTCTAAATCACATATTTTCTCTGTGAGACACATCATGGCCTCTTGTTCTTAGGAAAATTGGACAGCCCTTAAGCACTACACTTGGGAACCATTTTAAGTAGTGAGATCACCAACAAAAAGCACAGATATGTGGAGAATGAGGCACTGCATAGATTCCAGGAAGGACACCTGTTTGCCATGTGGGAGCTGACAATGAAGGCTGAGCATCACTTTTGTCAACTTAGTGGGTTACGTGTCCTCGGGATTACTCGAATTTTGTGCCACTGTGCGCGTAAGCGTGCATGCCTGTGAGAGTGTTGTGAATATAGATTTTGGAGTTACAAATACATTTTAGCAGGTAGACAAATTATAAATACAGAATTTGTGAAAATGAGGACTGACTGTTGACCCGAATGGTAGTGTGAGTCAAGCTATCTGTGGCTAGACTTTAACTATTTTAGCACTCATAATTTTGTTGTTGTTGTTGTTGCTTAGGGGTCTTGCTATTAGACTGAAAAGAGGCTATTTTGGTTGTGTTAGAACAGTCATTTAGGAAAGACTTGCAAACTTGTATTCTTTTGTAACTGAGTTGGGCTAAACATAAAAGCCGCTTGGATTCACAAGTGTACATCTTTCTTTTTTTTTGAGTTGGAGTCTCACTCTGTCGCCCAGACTGAAGTGCAGTGGCTGTTCCCAGCCACCGCAGACTCGACCTGCTGGGCTCCGACGATCCTTCCGCCTCAGCCTTCCAAGTAGCTGGAACTACAGGCGGGCGCTACCACTCCCGGCTAATTTTTTATTTATTGTAGAAATGAGGTCTTGCCAAGTTGCCCAGGCGGGTCTCGAACCCTCGAACTCAGGCAATCCACTCACCTCAGCCTCCCAAGGTGCGGGATTACAGGCTGAGCCACGTCTCCCCACGCCCACCAGCACGGTTAGGGCCTTGCCTGACTGACTTGTCAATCGTTTCTAGTAGCCGTTGTCGGTGCTGAAGAAGACATAGTTCCAGACAAGCCAGACCACCCAGTGATTAGGAGAGGGGACCAAGGCAGATAGGAATGTGTCTGAAAGCTTGGAGCGGGCATTGCCCACCTCCCCTCCATCTGCAAACGCAAGGACATCGGAATGTTACAGGCCAGGGCTCTGGGAATGAGAGATTGTTACAATTATGTTTTAAAACAATTTAAAGCTATTATCCTAAATGTTATGACTTTCTCTTCTGTCCAAATATTGCTTTTGTCTGCCCCCCACCCTAAAAAACTGCAAAAGAACATATTGTATATTTCAAAATGTTATCTAAAATGTCAGCATGACCAGGAAACTTTTGTCTTGTCAGTGGTCACGTATCAAAAAAAAATTTTTTTGTTTGAGTTGGAGTCTCATCAGTCGCCCAGACTTGAGTGCAGTGGCCACTCCCGGGCCACCACAGCCTCGACTGCTGGGCTCTGGTGATCCTTCCCCATTAGCCTTCCAAGTAGCTGGAACTACAGGTGCGTGCTACCACGCCCAGCTAATGTTTTTGATTTTTATTGTAGAGATGAGGTCTCGCCAAGTTGCCCAGGCTGGTCTCAAACCCGCGGGCTCAGGCAATTCACTCACCTCAGTCTCCCAAGGCGTGAGATTACAGGCTAAGCCATCGAGCCCGGCCTGAGAAATTTTTAATGTAAATCTTGTCATGCTTAAACTGCGTGTAGGCTTCAAACTCGGCTTGGATGAAGGACTATGAATTTGGGGTATAAATGGAATGAATTTGTGATGCTCTGAAAGGGTTTTTTGGCAATAACGCTGACCCGTCTCTGTAACCTGGTTATAGAAATTAAACACTCCCCTTTTTCCCAGTCTCTGCCTCTCATATTTTAACTGGTCACAGGGGATAGCAGCCAATTTACTGGAATGGGCTGTAACCGTCTTATTGTGTCGCCCAGGCTGGAGGCGCGATCACCATGGCTCACCATAACCTTGAACTCCTGAGCTCAGGCAATCCTTCTGTCTAAGCCTCCTGAGTAGCTGGGACTACAGGCAGACACCAACATGGCTGGTTAATTTTTTGATTTTTTTGTAGCGATGAGGTCTCACTATAATCCCCAGGCTGGTCTTGAACTCTTGGGCTCAAACAATCCTCCCAAGTGCTGGGATAACAGGCATGCACCACTGTATTTGGCCTGTTTTTCTAATTTATTGATGAATTAGGTTTTTAATTTTATTCTAAACTTTTTAATGGGATATAGGAGATTTCTTTAAAAGAAATACATGTGACCAGATGACTATAATTGACTCTGTGAATGGAAGAAGATTTAACACATCATTGCAGCATCATGTTTAAGATTTTATATTTATTATTTATAATTCATGATTATTTATCTGACTGTAATTATTTTAGTTCAGTTCATGAAGATTTTTAAAAAACCCAAACCTTTCCTTATTCACATGAGAGACAGTTTGACTGACCAGTCCACAGCAAGTTAGAAGTTTACAGGAAATTTCTCAGTCCTAGAAAGAAGAATTAAAAGACAATGTGTGAGTACGAAGATACACAATTCAAGAGAAAAACAAGGGAAGGGAAATTTCTTCTTACAAGTGACTTGACCACATCTACACACAAACATGCTTCATCACAGGCAGGAGAAGTGATTAGGAGGAGTTTCAGCAAGAGTGAAAGAAAATTCAGTCTGCATCATGTATTAAGGTGTCAGGGAAATTAGTATTCTCTCTCTGAAATTAATTTTCTGTGGGACCTTATTTTAGAAGCTGGAAATATTAATTCATAAATTTGATATATGTTTCAAAAATGATTTCCATATACTTTGCTCACTTTTCTGTGGTGATTTGTAAATCCAGTGAGCTCAGTATTTTAAAGCTGGAGATGAAGATATGGGGTGAGCTCAGTGTGCATCTGCACTCACACATTTGTGCTTTCTGCCTTTGAGTTTTAAATGGAACTTTAGAACAAGGGTCACTAAGGGTTACTTTTTGCTCATCACAATTACCTCTAATCTTATTGTCATGCACTATTATTACACAGTTGAGCACATATTCTCTCTGGTTTATACAATTATTCTGAAGTGACACGGATAAATGGTTGGTTCCATGTTTTTGCTATTGTGAATAGTGCATCAGAAAACATGTGTGGGCAGGTGTCTTTTTGGTAGAACAGTTTATGTTCCTCTGGGTATTTTCCCAGGAGAGGGATTGCTGGATCATATGGAAGCTCAATTGTTAGTTCTTTGAGAAACAGTCACACATTGGTTGTCATAGAGGGTGAAATTGCTTGCAATCCCACCAGCAGTG